TATTTTTGTCAAAACATCAAAAAATCCACTCCAGCTAGGGTTTCTTTCGTATTTAACTTCTTTCTTCTCCTCCATCTCCATCTCCATCTCACCACAGTTTCGTGCAGCAAATCGACCCCCCGCCTCGAGAACACGAGCACGCACAGATCTCGGAAAAAATGGAGAGTGCTGTTGCAGTAGCCGGACAAGACACACAAGACAGGGTTCACAGTGAAGTGTTGCTTTTCAATCGCTGGAGATACGATGAAGTTCAGGTTTTACTTCTATTCCTAATACTTCTAACATTTTTTACCTAACATCATGTTACTAGATTTGATGTTGTATTTTCTCATATTGTCATTGTGGATTTGAGATTTATCAGAGGCGAAATTAATTCACTGTTTATATTTGTATTTTCCTGGATATGAGATTTATTAGCAATAGCTTATAATCCAAGAAATATTAGACTTTTATGTAATGTGTTTTCGTAGGGTTCCGATTCAAATTTGGAATTTTCTTATTACAATAAATGAAAAATATAATATATTCAATTCATAAGTTAGTAGACTTCTGGGCTTGAATGCCCAGAGAAATTAGATGCCTCTTTTTATATGTTTATCGCACCTGAATGATAGAAATCCTGATTTTCTTTTTGTGGGTTTAACATTTTGAGATTAAGAATTCAATAACAGTACTAAGTTTGAATTATAACTCTATTAACAATATACGATGATCCATCCTCCTTAGTTTGAATCAATTTTTGGCAAAATTGGAACTATCATCAATAAGAAGAAAAATATGTTGCTCCTCCTTCCTATAGTTATTCCTTGAAGAATTTGAAAATGAGTGATGGACATGAAAGCATGCAGCAAAATTCCATTTTGTTCCAGGCACCTTAATTTGTTATTAACTATGATTAAATAGAGTGAATCATTTCGATTGTTTCTGCTTTCACTTTGGGTTTATACCATTTTTTTATTACTTATCCATTGAAATACGTCATCGTAGTGTTGTCAGGTAAATGTGTAACACGAGGCTTTGTTTTGATGCATGTAATGAGACTTTTAGGGTTCGTTTGATTGCAAGAGTGGAAAATGGGTGGAAAGAAAATGAATTCCAGGGAAAGTAATTGCCTAAAAATTGCTTTTGGAATTGTTAATCAAGTGTGTTTGATTTGTATAATTTTCCACCCAAAATTTTTTTGAAATTTTAGATTTTTTTGTCCACGTTTGGTTTTATTAAAGTGAATTTTTTTTTACAATTGGTTATGAAATTTGTTACCATTGCCGAAAAGTAAAAAAAAAAAAAAAATTTTTGCTCGAAACCTATTTTTTTATCAAAATTTAGTATTCGTTTGACTTCATTTTACATGAAAATTGTCAATAAAAGCTATAAAATTTCTTAGCACTGTGTCTAGAATTTTTCCCAATTGCCAAAAAAATTAAAAAAAAAAAAAAAAAGAGAAGCAAAATCAGGAAAATCAGTTTTTGCCAAAACACATTGTGAAATTTGTTACCATTTTTAAAAAGTAAAAAAAAAAAATTTTTTTTGCTCGAAAACTATTTTTCACCATTTTTTCATCAAAGTTTTATGTTCGTTTGGTTTCGTTTTACATGGAAATTGTCCATTAAAGTGAATTTTTTTTTACAATTGGGTATGATATTTATTTCCATTGCCAAGAGAAAAAAATGGCCAGCAAGTTGGAATAGGTGGGAAAATGAATTCCCTTATTTTGAGGAATTCAGGCGCGTGGACAAGGGAATGGGAAAACTTTTTCCAAGCCAAATTTTGGCTATCAAACATCATAAATGGGTGGAAAAGGAATTATTTTTCCATTTTCCATGGAAAAAGTAAGGTATCAAACAGGGCCTTAGGTCTGAAAAGGTTCATGATATAGAAATTGTAATTGATAATATGCTAATTATTATGGACTTTAGTTTGTAGTTTAAACTTGTATGCCACTTAGTGAATGAATATTTGATCCTTTTACAGATCAGTGACATTTCTGTTGAGGATTACATTACTGCAACTGCTGCCAAGCATCCGACCTTCATGCCTCACACTGCTGGCAGGTACCAAGCCAAGCGATTTAGAAAGGCCCAGTGCCCAATTGTTGAGAGGCTGACCAATTCACTGATGATGCACGGTCGTAACAATGGAAAGAAATTGATGGCTGTCCGTATTATTAAGCACGCTATGGAAATTATCCACTTGCTGACAGACCAGAACCCAATTCAAGTTATTGTTGATGCTGTGATCAACAGGTATGCAGAAAAACTCTATTGTCCCACTCTGTTCATTTGTCAAACTTTGTCCCCCTTTGTTAAGTAAAAGCTTGAACTGTGTAATGTCTTGAAATAGCTTTTTCAAAGCCACATTTTGCCCCTATCTGTATTTTGAAGAATATTCTGAACTAAGTTTAATGAAAATCTATGATAATTATGTGAATCTTGTCCAACAATTCTCTTTTAGAAGTACCCTTTTTAGTGTCATTCAAGTTAATGTTAGAATTCAAAATATGAAAAGGTCTCATTTGAATCCTTTTTGAAACTTGTTAATGTGTCTTATTCTGATTTTCTTATGTTTATAAAACTATTATGAAATGTTTAGTTCATATATTCAATAATGAGAATAATGCAGGGTCATATTCTGTGAAATTGAAGCAGTGTCGTTGGTATCGTTATTATTTATCCATATATTTAATTACATTATGTTAAAGAGCAAGCTAACATTCTTTTTTACACAAGCATGTGCCTTTGCGGAATTGAAATTTCATTGCCATGTATGATTACTACTTTAGTTGTCGGTGTTTAACATTGTTTACTCTGCAGTGGACCAAGAGAAGATGCAACCAGGATTGGTTCTGCTGGTGTGGTGAGACGTCAAGCTGTTGATATATCTCCTCTTCGCCGTGTTAATCAAGCCGTATATCTTCTTACAACTGGTGCTAGGGAGAGTGCTTTCAGAAATATCAAAACCATAGCTGAATGCCTTGCTGATGAACTCATCAATGCTGCCAAAGGGTCTTCTAACAGGTGTCCCTTTTGTAATCCATTTGGCATTCTAACGATGATATGCTTGTTTTGTTGTATTGCAACATCTTTTTTCCGTTTGTCATCTGCTTTTAATTGCACTGTGTATGGTAACACCGCCGTTTTGGGCATGCAGCTATGCTATCAAGAAGAAGGATGAGATTGAGAGGGTGGCCAAGGCCAATCGTTGAGGGAGGATTATCAGGGATTCAAGAGTTATTATTAAGACAGTTTTGGTTTCAAAACAAGTTCTTTCAGTAAAAGCTATGTCATATGAAGGGATTGTTACTTCGTTTTCGTATTGGTTAGCCGTACTTTATTTATGCAGAATGGATGTTTAGGCGAATTGTATTTGCTGTGACATCAGTTTTTGGTTTAGACATTTTTAAGTTTATTGTGCTTTCAATCTTTCTTATTCCCTCTCGTCCCCATTTATAGCGTATCCGTGAGATGGAGCCTTAAAATGATTTGGGGTTCATTTAGAAGTTAATTGTCAACTCACTCAAAAATTATTGTGAACACTTTTCTCGGAATTATAAGTGAATAAAATTAACAAAGTTGGTTTATATTTGAATCTTTTATGTTTAAAAAACTAAATTGAAACTAGGAAATGGATATGAAATTTTGATGGGAAAGTTGGGGGAATTCGGCTTTCTGTAATTCTCAATTCAAGTGATTAAAAGCGAATATTATTCGAAGTATCCTCAATTCCTCATATTCTATTTGTTTAAAGAAATAGGGGTTGGCAATATGGGTGTGCGACTGGTTTGACATAACGAGATCATTTATTTGAATATGTGATAGTTAAATCTCCGTTGGGGATGAAAACACAATTTATGTGGCGTTAATGTGACATTAAACGATAGGTGAAATGAAATAAATCATTTAATTTCACATTTCATTTAACATATCATTTAAAGCCACCTAAACTGTGTTTTCATCCACACTGGGGATGAATAACATTACTCTAAAATCAATGGTAAAATTGCGTATAATTTGATAGTTAGAACTGATTTTGAATTGGACCGAACAGGGTTTTCTTAAATTCTTCTAGCGGTGGCAAAAAAGTTTGGAGGCTCGGGCAGCTCGGACTCGACTCAAAAAAAGCCCGAGCCGAGCCTCTTAAATTCTTCTAGCGGTGGCAAAAAAACTCGGAGGCTCGACTGCTCGGGTTCGGCTAAAAAAAAGCCCCGCTTTGGAGAGTCAGCTCGGCTCAAAAAAGCTCGGGCTCGGGCCAAGCCCCACTTTGGGGAGTCGGCTCTAGCCCGGGCTGGCCCTTGGCCCGGGCGAGCCTCCTGTAAAAAAAAAAAATTTTTTTTTTTTGAAGACAGCTTGATGCAGGCAGGTAAAGCTGCTGCAACAGGTAGCTCGACCCGGGCGAGCCTCCTATAAAAAAAAAATTTTTTTGTTTTTTTGAAGACAGCTTGATGCAGGCAGGTAAAGCTGCCTGCAACAGGTAGGCAGCTAAGAAAAAATAATATTAAAAAAAAAAATAAAAAAATTCGAGCTGGCTTGGCCCGCTAAGGCTCGGGCCAAAAGCTCGGGTCGAACCCTCATTTTTTTGGTCGGACTCGGCTCTGGCTCGACTTGGATCAAAAAAAGTTCGGACTTGGCTAGAACTCTTTTTTCGGCTCTGACTAGTAGTATTAGCTAAATTCTTCTACGTGGCCGTATTCCCCCGTCTCCTTCCTAAACCAAATGTGATTTGGACGCGTACCAGTCCACTAACAAGTTTTGATTGGCGATTTTTTCGTCAATTGACATTTAACGCCGCCGACCTGCCTCCGACCGCATTACTGCTCACGCGCTTTCAGTTCTCTATTCCCTTTCTCTGGCGGATACACAACTAGTTTAAAAGCCTCGGTGTCTCCGCCATATTCTCAATATCGCCCCTGAATCCCCCTCCTCAATTTCCACGCTTCATATTGCCAAGCTTGAATTCTATACTCTTTGATAATTAAATTAATTGTGCAGGATTATTGAATTACAATGTCGGTCATTTCCAATTTTCATACGGTGTTCCAGCACGGTGAATTTCGAGCTACATTGGGATTGGAGAATCGGTTTGGTTTAAATCAGAGAGCCGTAAAAGTCCAGATCTTGAGGCCTTTCCATGAGGTACTAAAACAAAAAAATTAAACTTGCAGTTACAACTTACAACTATTTATGAATCTTTAGAGATTATTTCTAGCTGTACGTTCATGTTTTGGTGATTTACCTTGCTTTCCTTGTAACTCCGTATGACACAAGAAGAAACAGTTTATGAGACTGTGCTGTTTTAGTTGTTTGAATGTGAGTATATATTATAGGAAGTTTAATTGCATGGCAATGTATTATTAGTTTTAGGACTTTTAATTGCTTTCATAATATGGTAAAATGGTGACAATGTAATGAAGACAACTTCCATTTAATATTAAGTACATAGCAAATCATAACTTCTTTAGCCCCTGTTTGTCTACCATTAATCCAAAAAATTGTTTGCTACAGTAAGATTCTCCACCACACATTCACCCAATAAAATATTCTACACACAAACCAATAAAGTTACTTTAATTTTCAACCACACATCCTCCAAAAAAAACTATTCATTACACTAATTTTCTCCCAATAATGGGAGACAAACAAGCTGCTATCCAACTTTATGAACAATGCAGAAAGTTTTACACATCCACACACTTGTACAAAAGTTGGAAGCTTCACCTGCCAAAGTGACATATCACTATTGTCTATGTCCTGTTTTTAAATGAACTCCATTTACTATAACTGTTTCTACAAGTGAGGCATGATGTGTCCGAGCTCAGAATTTAACCCTAAAATGTGTTCTAGTTAGTTGCCTGCATTTCAAGTTGAAAATTCTTACGGTAACTGTAGTATTAATGTCTTAATTTGCATTGCTCAGGTATCTTTAAATCACTCAAAAAAGGCGTTCACGGGTCCAAGTATTCGGATGTCATTGGTGGATGAGAGGCTTACTAGTAGTATTGTCCTAAAGCCTGCTGATATTTTGGTAATCAAAACACATTTTCATCTTACATTTATTTTTATCGAAAAAATATAGTCTAACGCCTTATGAACTGTTAATTTATTGATGTTCAGTTTTGAATGTATTGACCGATTAGATAATTCCTTATGCAGGCATATGATCTTGTTCAAGGAGCAGATGTGAGTCCCATGTTTCCATTTATCTCCAGTTATAGATGACTGTAGTTTATAATTGAGGTCATCAATTTGTGATTTATCCCTTTTCTGGCGACCTCATTCTTTGCTGAAAGTATGAATTCAATATAGAACACTCATGTTCTTCTGTAAAGGCTGTTTAGTACTCTAATTTGTTATCTATACCAATCTCCATCTTAATTGGATATTCTCGAACCCGTGACAGATATGAACTAAAATTTATCTAATCATTATATGTTAGATACAATAGTGATGGTGACTACCTGTTATAAAAATCATAACTTATAGTTGGTCATCTGAAGCTGAGGTTGAAGTTATCCTTGTGTCATTTTTCAATTTGTGGGTAATAAAATGCATTTATATTGGGAAACTTATTATCATATAGACCACCATGCTGTTTTTCCTTTTATCCATTTCTTGAAAATATATGAGATTTCTATCTAATCTAATGAATGCGAAAAAGTAGATAAGGATTTGTCATTACTTTACACTTCACATTTTGATGAGCACATACACTCAAGTTAAAAATTGATATGGCTTCTCTAATGATATGTCTTGGGTCAAAACAGAAAGTGTATACTTCTTTTCTTGCAGTTGCATCAGTCATTGTATATTCATGCATGAGTATTAAAATGATAATTTGCATGATCGTCAACTTGCAGAGATGATCTATATTTGCTTATTCTTTCCATGTTTACTTTGTCAATGGTATTTTATTTTGTATATGGATATTCCTGTGAACTTTTGGTGCTCAGGTAAGGTGGAGTTACATTTTGGACAAATCAGCACCAGAGCCTCCTACTGCTGTTCTTCTTCATGGCATTCTAGGTAGCAGGAAAAACTGGGGTGGGTACCTACTCTATAATTTAATCATGAATTTATCTAGGAGAAACCTGTAATATCAATATCCCTTGAGTAGACGTTCAACGTCTTTGCATGATGTAATGGAGAATTTTATCTTTCTTTATCAGCGTCTCTCTCACAATAAACTATTAGGTGAAAAATAAGTTTATCATCATAGTGAGGCATGGAAATCTTTTGTGACCAATGCAAACTTGTTCAAAGTTAAGAGATTTAAATTATTTTGGAAAAAGTTGATAAATTGGGAAGAACCAATTCTGAACGAACTTTTTAGTGGGTCCTGCAAACATTTTTTATTTGGGCCAAGCTGGAATGCTCCCTCTTTCACAAGATGATGAACTTAGTCTATGTACTTGCTTTAAACCATTCTCTGGGTGAATGAGAAAATAAGCCAAAAAAGACCCTTTGGGTCATATGGGTCACCGAGATGTTTAGGCGGAGGAAGACCTAAGACCTCGAAGCTTCAAACCAAAGTAGATACTGGGGGGGACAGAGGGGAACTATAGTTTTATAAACTTGTTTATGGTATATTACAAAAAATTTGAAAGGGAGAGACCTGATTCTTGCAAACATTATCCTCTAAATCGGGTGCTATTGGAACTCTTAGTGCCTTTACTACATTTTTTGGTGTGTTCCTTCATACCACATTTTGCACCAACATTATTGGTAAAGATCTGCATTATGATAGACCCCCAATCCGGTTCACCTATACAAGAAGGGGGAAAAAGGAGGACACGTGCAACATGGAGAGCTGCCAGACACTTAATTAGTAGCTAGGGGTAAAAGAGTAATAAGCTGTAATAGGAAAAATCCCTATAAAGGTGAGGAAAGAGGGGATGTTACAGGCATTGAATTTCCACTGGGAATTAGTTAGAGTGGAGAGACCGGGCCTCTCCAATAGCCCAGAATTCTGTTACATTTCAGTCTATTATCAATACAATTCCATACCTTTCTGTTATTCTCTCTATTATTCTTCACTGTGTCTACAGGAATATTAGGGATAGTGGGTGGGATCCTACCAATTTGGTATCAGAGACACCGATTTTGGGAATATGACTCTTGCAGATCGAGTTGGGGTGTTGGAAACGAGGTTCGACTCGTTACAGGAGGACATGGGGGTGATGAAATCTGATTTCCAGAGAGACATGGCAGGGTTACACGAGAAATTCGATTTGGTAATGACGAAGTTGGATGGACTGGAATTTGACAGGAAGGATAAAGGACATACGTCCAGTTCGAGGGAGCCAGCTATGAGTTCTGATGCTCCGCTTAAGACCCAAGAAATGGGGGGTGTTATGGGAGGACGGGTACGCCGTGACGACGTGGGAAAATGGGAGAACCGCAGTCGCCGTTTGGAACTGCCTGTGTTCAACGGGGACGACCCAGATGGGTGGGTTTTTCGAGCTGAACGGTATTTTAATATGAACCAATTTACGGATTGGGAAAAGATTGAAGCAGCCGGAATTGGTTTTGAGGGTGAAGCACTTGCCTGGTTTCTATGGGAAAATGGCCGACAACCTCTTTCGAATTGGGAGGATCTGAAAATTCTTCTGCTAGCCAGATTCCGTCCTTCGCAAGAGGGTACCATCTTTGAGAAGTTCTTGGCATTGAAGCAGGAAGGGACGGTGAAGGAGTACCGTCGGAAGTTTGAGATGCTCGCCGCTCCTCTGCCGGAGATTCCAGACACCGTATTAGAAGGGAATTTCATAAATGGGCTGATTCCAATGGTAAGGGCTGAGGTCAGGATGCTCAACCCTCAGGGATTGGGCCAAATCATGGAGGTAGCCCAGCGGGTCGAGGACCGCAATGAGTCAGTGAAGAGGGCCCAGATGTGGACTGGCCCATTTCGTAATAGGAGCCCAGCTTATGACCAGTTGAGCAGCACAGTCAATACCACTCATTTTCCCAAATCAACACACGTAACACCTCAAACGCAACCACAGGCCCTTACGGCCACTCCCAAATCAATGGCGGTTACGATCCACCGTCCGGTGACAGCGCCGAAACCGGGTTATTCCTTCAAACGCCCGACCGACGCTGAACTTCAGTCAAAGAAGGAGAAGGGACTTTGTTATAAGTGCGATGGACGATTCCATTCGGGGCCATCAGTGCAAAAATCGAGAGTTACAGGTATTGGTGGTGCAGGAGGACGGACTAGAAGAGGTGTTGGACGTTTGTGAGGAAGAAGAGGAGGGCAAGGTCGGCGATATGGTGGAATTATCCATTAAATCGGTCGTAGGGCTGATCGCACCCAACACCATGAAGCTCGAAGGTACTGTTTCGGGAAAGAAGGTGTTAGTCTTAATTGATTGTGGAGCTACCCACAACTTCATTTCTAGTGAGGTGGTCGAGTTGTTAGCAATTCCAGTTACGAGGTCAGCAAGCTACGGGGTCCTCATGGGAAATGGGGTGACAGTAAAAGGGGGAGGAATCTGTAAGGGGGTTGTGGTCTCCTTGCAAAATATTGTGGTTGTTGAGGATTTCCTACCTATGCAATTGGGGTGCACCGACGTTATTCTCGGGATGAAATGGCTAGAATCCTTAGGCAAAACGCAGGTGAATTGGGGGACACTGACGATGCGTTTTAAGGTGAGAGGGGAGCCTATCTTGCTGCAAGGTGACCCCAATTTAATTAAAACCCAAGTGTCCCTGAAGACATTGGTTAAGTCCTTTAAGGAGGGGAAACAGGGCATTTTACTGGAGTTGGGAAGTTTGGGAGTTGGGACTGAGGTTACCATAGCTGAGGTTCCCAGCACTTTTGAAGGATTGCTACAGCACCATCACAAGGTCTTCGACTGGCCCAATGAGCTTCCTCCCCAACGATTTCGGGATCATGCCATCACCTTACAGCCCGGTGCGGCACCGGTAAACGTTCGACCATATCGTTACCCGTATGTGCAGAAGAATGAAATCGAGAAGTTGGTCAAGGAGATGTTGAGTGCAGGAATTATACAGCCCAGTTTCAGTCCATTCTCGAGCCCCGTCCTGTTGGTAAAGAAAAAGGATGGGAGTTGGAGGTTTTGTGTAGATTATAGGTCATTGAACAAGGTTACGGTACCTGACCGTTTTCCTATTCCAGTGATCGATGAATTGCTAGATGAGCTTTATGGGGCGAAGGTATTCTCCAAGCTGGACTTGAAATCCGGTTACCACCAGATCAGGGTTCGACCGGAGGACGTTCCCAAGACTGCTTTCCGTACTCACGAGGGTCACTATGAATTCTTGGTCATGCCGTTTGGGTTAACAAATGCACCGGCGACTTTCCAGTATTTGATGAACGAGGTATTCAAACCTTATTTGCGGAAGTTCGTGCTTGTCTTTTTTGATGACATATTGGTCTATAGTCGGTCTGCAGAAGAGCACTTGCAGCACTTGGGCCTGGTTTTAGAAACTTTACAAGACCACCAGCTTTACGCCAACAAGAAAAAATGTCTGTTTAGCCAGTCGGAGGTTGAATACCTCGGCCATGTGATTTCTGAAAAGGGTGTGGCTGCCGATGGGTCGAAAATTGAGGCAATGGTCAGTTGGCCGAGTCCACGCAATATCAAGGAATTACGGGGATTTCTTGGCCTCAAAGGCTACTACCGGCGATTTGTGAATGGGTATGCCAAGGTTGCTTGGCCCCTAACTGAACTACTTAAGAAGGATCGCTTTCGTTGGGATGAGGAGACAGAGATAGCCTTCCAGAACCTCAAATCAGCCATGATCAGTGTTCCCGTGCTCGCTTTACCCGACTTCTCACAAGGCTTCGTGGTTGAGACCGATGCTTCCGGCCATGGGCTCGGGGCGGTATTGATGCAGAACAACCATCCGATTGCATATTTTAGTAAGGTCTTACCACAGACAGCCCGGCGGAAATCAGTTTATGAACGAGAGTTAATGGCCATAGTATTTGCCGTTCAAAAGTGGCGCCATTACTTGGTGGGTAGGCATTTTGTAGTCAGGACAGACCAACGAAGTCTCAAGTTCTTACTGGAGCAACGCCTGGTGAGTGAAGATCATCAAAGGTGGTTGACTAAACTCATGGGGTTTCATTTCGACATACAATACCGGCCGGGGTTAGAGAACAAGGCCGCCGATGCTCTTTCTCGAATTCACCCTGCATTAAATCTGTTAGTGCTATCCACTCCTCAGGTTCTGCAACTCGAGGAAATCAAGAAGGAGGTGGCGGCAGATGACACATTGGGGAGGTTTGTGACTGCCCTTCAAATGGGAAATAACGTACCAGCTGGGTATGAGTTGATTGAGGGTGTCCTGTGTTATCATGGAAGGATAGTTCTGCCCAGTCAGTCCCCATTTGTCACTCTCATGTTGCAAGAGTGTCATGACACCAAGATTGGGGGTCACTCGGGGTTTCTCAAGACATACAAGCGTATCTCAAGAGAGGTCTATTGGCAGGGAATGAAGAAAATGGTGAAGGATTATGTGGCCAAGTGTGGGGTGTGCCAACAGAACAAGTATGTCGCTCTATCACCTGGGGGACTCCTACAGCCGTTACCAATTCCAGAGTTAATTTGGGATGATATTTCAATGGACTTCATTGAAGGGCTTCCTCGCTCGGGGGGTGTTGACACGATTTTAGTCGTTGTAGACCGTTTGAGTAAGTATGGGCATTTCATCGGTTTGAAACACCCTTTCTCCGCCCCCATCATTGCTGATATATTCATTCGAGAGGTAGTTCGCTTGCACGGCATACCTCGCTCTATTGTGTCTGACCGAGACAGGATTTTTATGAGTACCTTCTGGGCTGCCTTATTCAAAGCACAGGGAACCGCACTCAAATACAGCACTGCCTACCATCCGCAGACCGATGGGCAGACAGAGGTCCTAAATCGGTGCCTGGAAACGTATTTAAGGTGTTTTGCTTCAGGAAGACCACGGGTATGGAGCCAATATCTACATTGGGCAGAATTCTGGTATAATACGTCCTTTCATACTGCAACCAAGCTTACTCCGTTTCAGATTGTCTATGGCCGTGAGCCTCCTCCGATTTTGGCATTTGAAAAGGGATTGACAGCTAGCTCGACGGTGGAGCAACTCCTATTAGATCGGGATGACGCCTTGCAGGACTTGAAAGCACAGCTCTCTAAGGCTCAATTGCGAATGAAAGATGCATCAGATAAGCATCGTCGTGACATTCAGTTTGCTGTGGGTGATTTGGTTTATCTCAAACTCAGGCCTTATCGTCAGAAGTCCATGGCTAAACGACATTCGGAAAAGCTATCCCCGCGTTATTATGGCCCATTTCAGGTGGAATCAAGAGTCGGCCAGGTAGCGTACAAACTGAAGCTTCCTCCTACTGCGGCTATTCACCCTGTTTTTCACGTCTCCCAGCTCCGGAAGACCATTGGCGATTTCCAGCCAGTGACCGAACTTCCTCCCCAGCTGGCTGCTACTGGGGAGTTCATTTTGGAACCAGAAACCATATTGGGAGTTCGACCTAGTCCTACAGACGCGGCGGCAGGACCTGATATCTTAATCAAGTGGAAGAACCTCCCAGAATTTGAATCTACTTGGGAGAATTTTGACACAATCCGGGGGCAGTTTCCTAGTTTTCACCTTGAGGACAAGGTGGATTTACAGTTTCCTAGTTTTCACCTTGAGGACAAGGTGGAGTTTGGGGCAGCGGGCAATGATAGACCCCCAATCCGGTTCACCTATACAAGAAGGGGGAAAAAGGAGGACACGTGCAACATGGAGAGCTGCCAGACACTTAATTAGTAGCTAGGGGTAAAAGAGTAATAAGCTGTAATAGGAAAAATCCCTATAAAGGTGAGGAAAGAGGGGATGTTACAGGCATTGAATTTCCACTGGGAATTAGTTAGAGTGGAGAGACCGGGCCTCTCCAATAGCCCGGAATTCTATTACATTTCAGTCTATTATCAATACAATTCCATACCTTTCTGTTATTCTCTCTATTATTCTTCACTGTGTCTACAGGAATATTGAGGATAGTGGGTGGGATCCTACCAACTTTGTAAATTCATGTTGATTTAGTTACAACTTTTTATTGTTGTTAATTATGATAAAATGTAACAGGAACTTTTGCTAGGAGATTAGCCAAAGAGTTTCCGAAGTGGCAGGTATCTCAATGCTGCACTAGGTTTATGCTTATGTCTTTACTTCCATAACTCAAAGAAAAGTAAGTTTATTTCATTATGTTTTATGGTATTAGAAGGAAGAATATTGTACTTAAATGCCTAAACATTTTTTGAGATACACGGTTAATCTTGGATTAGTAAGCCCATTATAGATCTTAGCTTCTAGTGTTACAGTTTGTCTTTTAATTATCTGAAAATGGACTTTTCATGTAACGACCCGAATTTTAGAATTCAAAAAGCTACCAAAAGTTTCATTAAAATTTATCACCGTGAGATGCTTTTACGCATTAAAATTTAAACAGAACTAAGAAGAAATCAAACTAACATCTAATTATCAAAGAATTCCATAGTATCAACAGCAGTGAGTAAAACTCTTGCTATTTATTCCATTTATTAGAAAGTTGACGGAATAACAACACATTTTAATGCATTCTACCAATTTTAGACATGCATGCATGGTCTTCATAATAGTATGTAGCACATTTCAGACTTTCTTTATTACCAAGGAATCCAAATATTTTAAACTAAATGGCCATGGAATGAAACTATTACCGTGAACGTGTATGTCAGCCACACATGACTTAGACTTTAAGCAATGAAATTGGCAGAAAGGTAAATAAGGCAATTTACATCAAACATTTAATTCTAATTTCTACTCAAAGGTGCAACCTAAGCATCTGAAAGGAAGGACAAAATTATCTACTAGAAGACGGATAACTATATTCTAATAAACATGTCCAAAAAATTAATTAAACGTAAATATCTATTGCAGTCTGTTAAAAAAAACAAAACTCAAAGTTACATGCTTAAATTTTCAGACATTAGTCCAACAAACTGAGGCACCACCACACCATCGAACCTCCGCTCTCCGACGTGACCCATCGTACTAGCATGTGAGATAGAGGAGAAAAGGATGAGTATGGGGAATACTCAATAGGATATGAGTATATGTGTAATCCTGAATAAAAGTATTAATTCATATATCGTACCGTTATATCGTATCTTTAGAATCCGGTAACATCTCATAACATATCATATCATTGGTACCGGATTGCCATTATCATATATCATATCGTATCGCTTCGTTAGCATAACATTTATCAACATGAAATAATAAGAATTAAAGGGTACAAAGCCACTTATACTTTGTGATTCTACCTTATGATTTTCAAATGCATTTGAACAATGAGGAAGAATGCTGAGTTTTCTGTGCTAATAATAGCCTCTAAACTCCACTTTAACGTGTCTCCTATATATATATATATATATATAGGAGATGTATGTGTTATGAGAGAGATATGAGAAAGGGGAAAATTTGTGAGTGAGGAATGAGGGAATTGAAGGAATCCTTTCTTATTAGTTAGGTAAGTGGGAAAAGAGAATGGTGAGTGGGTATGTGGAAGTTTTAAAGGTAGTTAGATTTATGAGTGGGAGCGAGAGAAACAAAAAAATAAAAACGTTTGATAGCATGTTCAAAATTTATGCACTTATAACTATGTATATTTTCATGAAATATTCCCAGCTTACATTATATAATTATATATAGAGAAGTCAAAAATTATACGTAGGGAAATTCACATTTCAAGTAAACATGGACTCTTAAAATAATTTGGGTGGCTACATAAGTGTGTATGGGTCAGCTCACCAAGTGTGGATTTTGACTAGACACGTCGCTCTTCCATGAGACATAAAGAATTGGGTTATTACATTTCGTGTGTCTATTCTATGAAAACTAAGTTTCAATTAGATTTACGGAGCCATTATATCAGCTCTCAGTCCTGGATCCGGATTCTGAGTCCAGATGGAGCATTTGCTGGAAAACAATTTAAAAGAAATTTAGTCTTAACTGCATAGTGAGAACTGTAAATCTAGTGGAAATTGGTGGAATAAACACGATTCCTTAAATATGGGGTAAAAGAGGGATATATGGTGAATGAAAGAATAGTGCTTTCAGTATTTTGTAGAGCAGTGTAATATTAAATAGCTGTGCATTTTGCAAACTTGTATATTCTGTGATAAATATTTCTTTTTCAATTTTATTGTTAAACATGATTTGGAGTAGTAAACATGATTTCTTTTTGCTATTTTATTATGAGTCCAGAATTCACTCTTCATTTGTACTTTTGCTGCCTCAGTTTCTCCTGGTGGACCTGCGGTGTCATGGGGATTCAACATCTCTAAAGAAGAGGGGGCCCCACACTGTTGCTTCAGCTGCTCTTGATGTCTTGAAGCTAGTATGTGAATCTCTAAATCCTCTCATTTGGGTGAACCAAGCACACTAAACTGGTTTCCAGACCTTTCAGACTCATCTTACACCAAAATATTACCAGAATAGGACTTTAAGACTTTGGTTCCTGGTATCCTTGGTCCTTTTGTGGACTTCTTCTGGCTGCCATTGCCTTCCTTTTCCCCAGGCTCTGCCAACCCCTTCCCTGAAAAAGGGTAAAAGGAAAATTCTCTGTGAAATTCCTTTAATTTTTGGTTTGTAGCAGTTTTGACATTGTATTAGTAAAAAATGTTCAATTATTTGTGTCATGCTTATTGCATTATAGCTTGTCCATTTTGAAGTTCCAGTTGTAACATATAACAGAGTGACCATGGGGTCCGAGTCAAACTAAAGCAAATACCATTCTCTCTATAAATTTTCAGCCCCTATTTTTTTCCGTCTTTAGCTCAAAATTGAAGTTTATCCTGCTTATCTTCCGTTTATGTAATCATAATTCTTTAAATCTTTCGACTAGCTTGGGCAGCTGAAGTTAACTCCTCGAGTTGTAGTTGGTCACAGCTTTGGTGGAAAAGGTAAATTAATATCCATTCTAGTGTCAGTAAATGTGTTATAGATTAATTAATGATTTTTGATGCATATGTTTAGGTTATTATTTTAACTATTTTATAGGTGAGACTGGTACAGTATGCTTAATTTCTCTCTTATTGTTCTGCAGTTGCCTTGAGCATGGTGGAGCAGGTTGCAAAACCTCTTGCACGACCTGTTCGAGTAAGTAGAGTTCAATAATCTTTTAACTGTTTTGCATTTCTTATTATTTTGATAATTTGGAAGTTGAGAATATAGGTTGATCACTGTAAAATGCCTGCACTGAATATTATCGACCTAAAACTAGCTGCCAAATTTCCAGTTGCCTCGGTGAAATTTCTTGAGGTTTTGACTTGTAAGATTGATAATAGTTCAAATTATGTACTTTTTTGGGTTTTCAGTTTACATTGTAATTATTTCTTGGTCTTCTTTTTTGCTTGTTCTCCTTTCTGCTTTCATGCGTATTGGCATTGTAGGTCTGGGTTTTAGATGCTACTCCTGGAAAAGTTAGAGCTGGTGCAGACGGAGATGACCATCCTGCTGAACTTATCTCTTTCCTTGGTAAATTGCCATGTGAGGTAACTATGTATTCTTCTGCCTATATTCCTTTTGTTCCCCCCATTTGGCTTTGCAAAGCCAGACAAACTTTTGACTATATCCCCTCCCCTAGAGGGATTCATGCATTATATAAGAAGAGTATTACCTTGTACAGCTATGATATCAATCTAAATATGGTATATGTAATCAACCTAAATATGTTAAATACAATCATATACATAATTATGTTAAGTCATAATCTTCGTTAATCTTCATGATCTTCTATTGATATCATTGACAAAGCCATTGTTATTTTGTTTGTTCTACTAAATTTTTTCTGGATATCTTTATTATTTTTGCTTCATGTTGGACTATACATGAGTTAGAAATGCATAGATTTAAACTTACAATTTCAAGGTTACTAGATCAAGTGTGCGAACAGCCAATTGTGCAAATGAGACAAAAGCTTAGATATATACCTAGTAGTCCTAGTCTCAGACTTAAGGTCGCCGCCTCTCTCGACGTTGCTTCTCTTATTGATTTGAATTTCTATTGTGCTTTAATTCTTAAAAACTTGGTAACATTTCACGTCTTTTAAATTATACTGTTGTTCTTGTAATTAATGCCTATAGTGATTGTCGATTCTATGCGTCTCTTTTATGTATCTCTAATGATATTTGTTTAATTACTTGATACAAAATTTCACTTATGTTTGAACTTATTCTTCAAGGAAGATCTCTTCCAAAAAGGATGTTGTAAATGCTCTTGTTCAAGACGGCTTCTCGATGGATGTAGCACAGGTGAATTATTGAGATATATTTACTGAATAACATTGTTAAATTTGTTTTTCCTTTTTTATACAAACATTGCTGAGGGTGGTTTTGATGCTTATAACTTAGCGCATGTTTGGCTACTCACAAATAGTATCCACTTATCCACCACTCTATCTATCTATAATTTAAACAGTTTATAAACAAATCCCAAACATGCTTTTATTGTTTAGGTTTTCCTTCTAGTATCATTTTTTCTCTGCTTTTCCATCACAGTGGGTGGTAACTAATCTTCGGCAGAATCGTATTAACGGGACATCATCTTCAAGCTTCTCTTGGGTGTTTGATCTCAATGGTATTGCTGAGATGTATCAATCATATGAGGATACAAATATGTGGTAAGTTCGCATCCCACGGACCTGTAACCACCCCCGGAAAAACACGAAGAGAAAAAAGAACCTTATATGACTTGGTATTGGATAAAAAGGGATATGACTATTCCCAGTTCTTCAGTGTATTTGTTGTCTGTTTCTCGCATATTTTTAAGTAGTCTAGCATGCTTTTTGTGAAAATGAATCGTGTAAGAACCTTTTTCACTTTAATCAAATATGGCATATTTTACTTAGTTGGAGAGCTGTTATTGTTCTTCTATGTATGCAGGAAAATTGTTGAAGAAGTCCCTCGAGGTGTTCATATTAATTTTCTAAAAGCAGAGAGAAGTTTGCATAGGTGGGCCAAGGAAGATTTGCAGAGGATTCATGTTGCTGAGGAACAAGCTGTAGAGGAGGGTGGCGGAGTTGAAATGCACGTGCTTGAAGATGCTGGTCATTGGGTATGTTGCATCTTCACCTGAATAATTCCATCTCCTTAAAATCCAATAATTGGAGAAAATTGTAACTCCCAATTCATTAAACATTGTGCTTCATATTCCTCATCAATTATAATCTTTGCTCCAGGTACATGCTGATAACCCAGATGGACTCTTTAGGATTCTTTCATTCTCATTCCAAGGATTTTAGAGAATTATTTCGTTATGCAGTGCGATTTTCACCATCACTCATAAATTGCAAATTGATCTTCACACTTTTGTAGATGTGTGTAACTTCTGTAACTACGTTGTTTTGCTTATAGTAAAAGCAATTTCCTGGGATTCAATCGAAAATTTATGTCGAATAGCCTAAACATTGTAGTGATGTTCAAAATTACAAATTATCAGCAGCAGAGGCAGTTGAAGCCATTTGATGACATACATTCTGTAAAAGGTTGCTCATTTGTATTTATCTAACTTTTGCAATCATAAAAAGGAAAGGATTACGAAAATCTGAATCTTAGTTTCCGTGTAACATAATAGTGTTGTATGAATTTAACTTGTCCCACGTGATTCTTTATGTTGGGAATTTACTTAACATGCACAGCGGAAATTAAACAATTTTCAATACCCAACCGAGGATCTGCAATGTGTTTAGATAGAAACAGTGATGAGAATGATACCTTTGATGAATTCCACAAACTCTTTTGCTTTT